GTGTCTGAGGTGCTCCCCCGCCTGTGGCTGAGGTGCTCCCCCGCCTGTGGCTGAGGTGCTCCCTCCCACCTGTGAGTGGCAGGGGATCAGGACAAACAAGCAGGCCCCTCAGGAGGTTAGAGTCGCCTGCTTCCTGGTTTCACCACTGAACCCCCCTTCCTCAGCCCTCCCGTCAGCTCCAGGCCCCAGATCTCCGCCCCATCCAACTCTCGTGCCTGTTGACACGCCTGAGACAGCGGAAGGCAAAGCCGCTGGAGACACCCTGGGCCCGTCCTGAGATGGCCTCCAGTGGCAGAGGCCTTCCCGGAGCCTCCGAGGCCCTGAGGAAGCTGAGCTGGGGCCCCTTCGTTCCATCGCAAGGCCCAGCCCTGAGGTTCAAGAGCCCCAAATGGAAGCCAGGCAGGTTTCCTCTCCACCTGGACTTTTCTTACAGCACTTTTTGGGCAGCCTTCAGGCACATTCACAAACTCACGCTAAAGCTGGCGCTGCAGCACGAACTCCAGGACTTACCGTTACTGGGACCGATGAAGGACGGCGCTTGAGGGACTGTGTGGCCCCAACACCTCAGGCTCTTTGGCTCCATGGCTGCCCAGTGACCCAGACCCTGGATGGGGTGCTTGAATGGAGAAGGGAACCTGGCCCAGCCCCTTACCCACACCCCTATCTGATGGCTGACCTGGCAAACAGCGCTTTTGCTACAACCCAACCCAGACAACACTGTCACCAAGGAAACAGCCAACTCGCCCTTTCCTCCAAAAGTGAAGTCCGGAAGTCCAGCTGCTCACGTGACAAGGGAGACACAGCAAAGCCTTCCGCGCCACCTCAGGACAGCCCATAGCTGCTGAGGCCCGCCGGTCACACAGCTCACCTGCACTGCACACTGCGGCTGCACCCCAACCAGGGAAGATGGGATTCAGGAGGCTCGTCCGGGGCCTCACCCTCTGAACCTCATCCATCCTTAGTGCACAGGCTGCTGAACAACACTGCACACAGTGGTTCTCAACCTTCCTAACACCACGACCCTTTAATACAGTTCCTCATGTTGTGGTGACCCCCAACCATAAAATTATTTTCATTGCTGCTTCATAACTGTAATGCTGCTACTGTTATGAATCGTCATGTAAATATCTGATATGCAGGATGTATTTTCAGGGGTCGCAACCCACAGGTTGAGAACCACTGACTTAGGTCCGTCTGCTCAAATCACAAATGTGCACGCTATTTGTTCTCCAGTGATGAAGACTCTACTTGGACACATTTAATCAGCATTTTCACAAGCATTTAGTCTTAACTAAGTATTTTCATCAACAGGAAACTCTAGAATTATACTGTATGAGCCCAAGAATTTGGAGAACACTACACACCCTTAACCCAGGAACGTGGCTGCCGGAGTGCAGTGCGCCACGGCCAGGCCGCAAAGTCCAGGCAGGCCCATCTGTGCATCGTTACACGCTAGGCGCTTAGCCCAGCCCGACACAGTCCACACTCCACAAATACTTGCAGAATTTGAATAAATCCTGTAAAATTCTCACTTGGAGACATCAGTAGTGTCACTTCTTGCTGCTTCTCTCCCAGAAGCTCCTGGTAGAACCCAGGTCTGGCAGCAGGGGGCACACAGGCCGCTGCTTACACCTGAGAGGGATGACACAATCTCCTCAAGGGGTTGAACTCAGACCAGGCCTCAGAAGCTGAAGAGCCCTGGGCTCCCCATGGGGACCATGGCATTCCCGAGGTGCGTGGCAGTGGCCTCACACCCACTGACTTGACTCCTAAGAGAACTTTTCCTTCGCAGAGAAGCCTCCCACCGCTGTCCGTCCGTCTCGGGCAGCGCGCCCACCTGAGGCCATCTGGGGAAAGGGCTACAAAGCAGACCATCTTTATTCACAGCTGGGAGGCAGAGGGGACACCCCGGGTCCGTCCAAAAGCAGACACTGGGAGGGAGAGCGCCTGGCTCAGCACTCGTCCTCGCCCAGCATGGTGTAAGGGTTTCGAGAGGCCAGGCTGGACCCTGGAACTGAGGTTGGGGTGTCCTCATCCCCTTCCCCCTCCTCATCCGCATCTCGGTCCTCCTCTCCCTCCTCTTCACAGGAGCTGCTCAGCTCTTCTTCCTCCTCCTCCTCTTCCTCCTCATCACCGGCTGGCCCCACCCTACCCTGCAAAACCACCAGCTCCGTGGTCTCTGGATGGGACTCCCAGGTGCCTGCGGGACCAGAACAAGAAAAAGAACAGAGGGGAGTTTTCAACAAGAGGCTAAAGCCAGAGGAAGATGGGGAAGAGGCAAAGACTAAGAATAACAAGAATTTTTGTAGCTGCTGACATGCCTGCATCCACCCCACCTCCCATGTGCTGGGCACTGCACAGCTCTGCACACATTAACTCCAGTTTTGGGCACCACCTTGCTGGGGGCAACTGACACCCAGGCTCTGCAGATGAGAGAACGGCCTCAGAGACAGCCACACAGAGCTGGCCGACAGGTGCAGACCCAGGTGTGCCCGGCCGAGTGCCACCAGCCCCCGTTGCCTACACTACAGCAGGTGGGGGTACACTGGCAGTGACCTTTTTGGTCCAGGTAGCCCGGCGGGTGGAAGCACAGGCTGAGGCGGCCATCCAGCGCCAGCCTCAGGAGACTGTTGGCCGCTCTGTACACATCGTTCCGCGCCGCCTTAGCTGTCTTGTAGCCACGTTTCTCTGCCCAGGCTGAAGGGAGAAGAGAGTGGTGGGAGGGAAGCTCATGAACCCCACTGCCTAACACATCTTTCCAGTTTTCCCAGAATATGCCAGGTCAGAGATCTGGCTGCCCCTGTGACAGATATCTGGGGTGGCCAGGAGCTGGGTGAACGGCAGAACCTCTGAGGAGAGGAGTGGGGACATGGCAGGACAAAAGGCCAGGGGAGGAGCCAGGTCCCCAGAACCCACCTTCACAGATGTCCCAGGCACACCAGGGGTGCTCGGCCACGGGGTCCTCGGCCTCCGGGTGGCGCAGGTGGAGCAGGGCCTGCACGGGGACCCGGGCGGCCAGGTAGCCCACAGCAGTGTAGGGCTCCTGGATCTGGGCGATGGGGTAGATCCCTGCCAGAACCTGCGGAGCACGAGCCTCAGCACCAGCCTGGATCACCCGCCTCCCGCTGCCCCCTCTGCCCGCATACCTGCAGCTGCCTGGGCAGAAGGGAGGGGAAGATGAGGCCCGGGCAGTCACAGAGCTTCACGGAGGGGGTCAGAAAGTAGGTCTGAAAGTACCGCGTGTGGCCCGGGGTTCTGGAGACGCTCACGACCTTCCGCCCCACCAGCCCATTGATCAGTGAGGACTTTCCCACGTTGGGGAACCCTGAGGAAAGCAAGGCAAGGTAGCACCTGGCAGCTCGTCCCCTGGGGGGAGGTGGGCGCTGCATGGGGAGCTGAAAGGGAGAGGCTCAGGCAGGAAGGGAGCACTAGGGCTGTGGGGCCCATCCCACCCTCCACTCCCTGGCTTTGTGACTCAAGGCCATTCACTCAACCTTGTCCCCTCCTCCTGCAGCACAGACACCTCCCCTCAGAGTGGCCACGAGAAGCACGACCGCGCTGGGCGCTGCGCTGGCCGGACCGCCTCCTCCCAGAAGCCTGCAGTGGGCCCCCCAGGACTGCACAGACCTGCTCGGCATGCTGGCCTCCGTGCACATGTCCCTTCCGAAGGCTGTTTCCTACACCCCGTCTCAGCCCCAACCCGTGGCCACAGCCTGGAGCCAGTCACTTCAAGCTCTTAGGGGCCAGCCCTCCTCTCCAACCTGACCCCGTCTCTCCAGGTCACCCATCCTGACTCACGTCCTCTTCCCCAGCTCTGACTCTAGGATCCCACTCACAGCCTGTCCCTGTCCAGACCCTGAGCTCCCTGGTCCGCTCTCCCCTCCACCGTACTCACCTGGCAAAACCCCAATCCTGCCAAATGCACTGTCCACTCAGCACCTGCTGCTGGCAGCTGCGCCACCTCCACCAGCAGGCGCTCCTTTCCATGGGAGGGAGGCACAAATCACCCTCCGCTGGCAGCACCCACAGCCATTTCTCTGCCCCTTTATAGTGAAACTCCTTCAAAGACTGGTCTCCTTTGGTCATGGCTATCAACTGTAACACGCACTCTCCTCCCTTATCGCTCTCTCTCTCCCCCCTGAGCTCCAGGGCCCTTCGTTTGCTTCCGTAACTTGTTTCCTGAGCCCATTTCTTCCATGGCTGCCTCCTTCTACCTCTGTGACTTTCTAGGTAAACTTCCTCTTACACTTTGGAAAAAACTGTAACAGCCCTAGCTGGTTTGCCTCAGTGAATAGTGTTGGCCTGTGGACTGAGGGTCCTGGGTTCGATTCTGGTCAAGGGCACACGCCCAGGTTGTAGGCTTGATCCCCACTAGGAGGTGTGCGGGGAGCAGCCAATCAATGATTCTCTCATCATCGATGTTTCTCTCTCTCCCTATGCCTCTTTGAAATCAAAAAAATATATATTTTTTAAAAAGGAAAGAAAAACTGTTACACAAAAATGTGTACAATATACATGTGCCAGATGAACCCATCACCCTTCTGGCCCAGAGTGTGATGCTCACCCCGGAGCCCCAGCCCCTCCTGATCACAGCCCTCCGCCCTGCAGGGACTCCCTGCCTACACTTCCTTTCAGCGTTAAGACCCGTGTGTCCCTGAACCATGCAGTTCAATTCCAGCTTTTCAACTTGACACGAATGGACGCCTGAATATGAAGACTGTCTGGCTCCTGGCTCACAGCACTATCAGGCCGCCATGCCGTTCCTTCTCCCGCCGGCCGCCCAGCCGGGCTCTCCTCCCCGCACTGAAACCACTCGTTCACACACTAGGCCGCTCAGCAGGTCTCTGCTCTCGGCTCACTTGACTTAGTAACACGCGGCACAGCCAGCCCTCCTTTCCTCTCCACCACATGGCCCATGTGGCACGGGGCTCCCTGCTCCTCCTCTGCCCACCTCTGCACCTACCACTTCTCCCACATCTCCCCCCACCCAGGACTCTAAGTACCAGGCATACCCACCTCTGGTTCCCAACTTAAATCTCCCCCAAATTCAAATCTCGTCCTCTTCCCTAGACTGCAGGCTCATATACCCACTACTTATTCAATATCTCCACTGGGGACATATGTTTTTAATCTCAAAATTAATGTCTGAATCCCCTCCCCTTGCAGCCCCTCCAGGCTGTTCCTCTCCCATCTTCCTGTCTCAGTATTCCCGACGGCACAGCACACCACCTGGAGCCCGCCTCTGCGGCCTGCGGCCTGCCCACGCTTAAAACCCAGGCAGCTCCCGGGCACAGCCCGCCAGCTTCTCATTAGACGGGAATAAACCCAAATGCCTTCTTAGCTACAGGCCTTCAGGTGCGGCCCACCTGCCTGGCTTCACTGCTCGTCCCCTCGCTGGCCCGCTCGCTCGCAGCCTGGAAGGCCCCTCCCACTCCACAGCCGCTCCTCCATCAGCCCGGGCTCTCCTCAGCCTCTCGGGGACCTCCTCTTTAAGTTGCTCTCTATCCTTTTTATTGTCCCTAAATAACATCTTTTCAGATGACTGCTCGATGGATTCACCAGAAACAAGCTCCGTGAAGGTAGGGGCGTTCCTGCCATGTCCATGCAGCACCCCCTGTGCCAGCACCTGCACCTCCCGCTCAGGAGCAGACGAATGAACGGAGCTAAAGGGAATCCAAACTCAGGGCTGCCTGTGTCCCAGCAGCTGCTCGTCCTGCCACCCCCAACACAGGCAAGTCGGTGCCCAGGCCTGAGAGAGGGCACAGGACCTCCTGGGGGAAGCCAGGCAGTCAGCAGTGGGGAGGCTTCCCTAAGACAAACCAGAGGCTTGACAGGAAGGCGGGGGCACTGCAGGAGCCAACCACTGGGCAACCCCTGACTTCTAGGCCGGGCCCTTTTGGTTCCAGTACCACGACTTTGCCAAAGTCACCTCTCCCCACTCCCACGAGAATTAAAGGGCCCTGCGCCTACTCGGACACTCCACTGTCCCCACCGCGAGCAGACAAATCTGCACCACGGGGAGTCTCCCTGACAACAGACCTCACGGGTTAAGATGCAGGAAGGAACCAACATTTGCTAAGCTCTTACTATGGACTAGTTAACTACGACTGAAACAGGTCACACACGTCACTCAGAACAGTGCCGGGCAGGCAGCAAGACCGGACACATGTTAGTTTAACAATTATTCTTATCGTCACCATCAGTCAGGCTTTGTCAGGCTCTCTGTACTCTTCCCTGCACTCCTCCCATCCATTCTCTGACTCGGGTATCGCTGTCATCATTCGAAAAACCAAAGCACCTGAGACGCAGGGTGAGTGAATACTTGCTCGACACCTGTAGCCACTGAGACGAGGTGGAGTTTCACGCCGGCGGCGTCCTAAGACCCGGGAGCCCAGGGACCCGATCGCTTCCCTCCTTCCCCAGTGTCCAGCCCACCCTGTGCGACCACCACCTCCTCACCCACACAGCCGATGGTCACCACGCCGTCCTTGTAGCGCTCTTGGGCGGGGCCGGCTGGCTCCATGGCCGAGTCAGTCTGCTGCTCCACCAGGACCGTGGGCCCATCATCCTCTTCCTCATCTTCCCCCGAGGCACTGCCCCAGGCGGCCCCAGCCACGTCGCGGGCAATCTTTTCCCGCCAGCTGCTCAAGTCCACTGCTCAGGAAGAAGATGGAGAGGGCTCTCCCTAGGGCCGCATCCACACAGCCGGGAACTGATGCCCTCGAGCTGGACAGGGACAGGCTGCACAGGCCGGCTCTCCCCAGGCTGCACTGACCGCCCCTGGAGTCACGTGCATCCCTCAGTCCAGTTTCCTGAAAGTCCTGGGAAGCCCGAAGGCAGCGGCTTCTCCGGCCTACCTGCTGCCTCTCTAGTCCCAACACGTCACTCTCCATCCCTCCCGGCCTCGCCTGTGTCCACAATACAGGGCTGACTTCAGGGAAGGCGGGCACCGTGACTCGGGGCCGGGGTCTCACCCACCTTTCCCCGCAGTGATGGCCTCACAGGCTCTCAGCAGCTGCTCCGGCCCCAGGGCCCGAGCCCATCCTCTCCCCCGCCTCCGACTCTTCTTCAACACTGTGGCCCAAGGGTACAAAAGGGTTGGCACATCGCACCTCCGCCGCCATCCTCAGGTCCAAAATCAGGCACCCCCTTGTCAACAAGCTCCGTTCTCCTCTTTATCCCCTGCCACCCCCCCTTCCCTGCTGCCCTCCTCACTGACCACTCACCGCCACTATGGTCCTGTGGGATGCGAGGAATGCTTCCAGGCGACCACGAGAGCCGGCGGGGCCAGATCCACCTTGTTCAGCACCAGCACCAGGGCCAGCCCAAGCTCTCCAGTCACATACTCGTACAGTGCTGGCGGGAAATTCACAACCTGGGGCAGGGTTGATAAGAGGACGAGGTTGGTAAGAGGATGAGCAATGTTAGGTCAACCCAAAGGTCTCTGCCTCTAGCAGACACAGCTTGAGACAAGACCCTGGTGGCAGCGGATTCTGGGACAAAGGGTAAATCAGCCAAACCGAACTACAGACACAAAGCAGGGGCTAAGTGCTGCCCGCGCACTTGTGTGGGAGCGTGCACAGGCTGCCACGGACCTCCACCCTCAGTTCCTTCCCGGACCTCCCTCTCCCGCTGCAGGCCCACAGGCCCACACAGCCGTCCAGCAGCGTCGAGAGGCTTAGCCACCACCCAGCATTCCCGGTGAGTCCTTTGCTCACTGAGGGGCAGGGCACGGGAGCCCCAGCTGCCTCATGACATCCTGGGGTCTCCACTCTGGGACTTTCTATTGTTTAGTTCTGCTGGGCTGGGAAACAGGATATACAGTTTTCCATCACGGGGTGACGGAGAGGAGTCAGTTGGCCAGGGAAGAAGGGACAGGCTGTGGCCCTGGTGAATAAAGAACCGAGTCTCTGACTACAGACATCAGCACAAGGCAGGAGCCTGCAGAGGAAGGAGAATACCTGTCTCCCAGCTCCTGCCTCTGCCCTGGCCCAGGAGATCTCCCTCCCTCCCCCCGCTGGCCCACTCACCGGATGCCGGACATCGGTGATGAGCAGGACGATGTCAGACATCTCCAACACCCGCCACAGCTGCCTCCACGTCTGTAAAGAGAGAGTCGGTGGAAAAGAATCGGAGCCTGGAGCCCCTTTCCTGCCCGACGCCTGACCATTTACCCTGAGCCACCATGCCCACTCCTGCCCCGCTCCATTCACACCTCCAGATTGTGCTCGAAGTAGCTGAGCTTCTCCGAGGTGTAAGCCCCATGAATCTTCCCAAGATACTCCTGGAAGCTCCGCTCCTCCTGGCTCATTAGCTGCTCCTTGGACATCTCATAGCGCCAAGGGGGGCGGCGGGGGAAGTCCAGCACTGCAAAACCAAGGCAACGCCCAGCAGTGTGAGGAGTTCCAGGTGCACCCCAGACCCTCCTTCCTCAGTCAGCTCCGCCTCCTCACACTCCCCCAGCCCAGGGCTGGTCCCCAACAGCGTGCTGGGCTCCCCTCACCGGAACCGGGCTGGTAGACCTCCTGGATGTCCAGCTCCAGCATCTCGGCGCTGACGGGCTGTAGCACTTGCTCGCGGGCCGCTCTCTTTCTCTTCTCCACCTCCTCCCGGCTGTCCCGTTCAAAATGCAGTCGGTATCTACGCGACAGGGACACGACACCCATGGCAACCCTGTGGTCACAAACTCCACTCCAGTGCCGACGCCTTCGCCAAGCTCTCCCCAGGCCTGCTGACCTCCTCCCCGAGTGGGCCCTCCCCAGGCCCCTTTCACGCGGTATCCTCACCTTTCTAAAAGCCCGCCTCTTTCCAGCCCTCCGAAGGGAACGTCGGCCCGGGAGACCGGGGCACCCCAGCCCCACCACCTCGATTCCAGGCCCCGACTTCCGGTCCGCGGGGCAGGCCCGCTCACCGATTTGGGTCAAAGCCTCGCGGGCCCAGCCCCTGGGGAGGCTGCTGGTTGAGCCTACGGATCTGCTGGGTCACGGAACCCCGGCTGCCGCTGCGGCTGTTGGAGCTGGACCGCAGCCCATCTTGCAGGCCTGCGGGAGGAGCGGTGACGCGGGGCCGCCTCCCTGGTCGTCCCGGCTCCCGCACCGCACCCGCTCCCCGCCCCGCTCCCCTGGCCGCCCTGCTCGGGGCCCTCGCTGGGGGGCGGGGGCAGTCCCTCCTCCGGCC